TAAGCTGAAATTGATCTGTAAGCTCCACCCCCTTCTTATCGGCCAACTGACAACCAGAGAACCCTCTGTGGAAGTAAAGATATTTTTTGGATAACCAGAAACCAAATTTCATGAAGACCACTAGAAATAGATCTTAAATGTGTGATGGGGAGAGTTTTAAAGTGAAGATTTAAAATATAAAATATATTACATTATATATACATTTTAAATATATATTTTTGGTTTATTGATGGCTCAAGTGGAAAAGACTCAAAATCAAAGCGACAACTTCCTGGATCAAGGCACCACAGATTAATCGAAATTAATTAATTTACTTTAACATTCATAACATTCAACTGAATTCAAGCAGTGTTTTGCAAATTTAAATCGGTCACTAACACTTGTACTGTACTGCTACCGAATATCACAGGTATTATACTTCCAATATGGGGGTATTATTAAGTCAGATAATAATAAATAATTATCTGATCTACAAATAAATGAGAAGGGCTGCACAAGAATAAATCAGATTCACAAACAAATGAATATACTTCTCAAATTAAAACACCTCACATGTTCATTCACCGTCTTATCTGTTTGGAGCCTCTTTCTTCTCACCGCTAATTATGACGCGATTGGATGGGAAGAAAAGCAGTGCATTACCATTCATTTACCAAGCAGTGGGCAGAGCTTACCTCTTTGTGGATCTCTGTCTCTCTTGAAAGGACATTTGAGTCAAGATGCACCAATTCACAACTCACAGGTCAAGATTCACAAATGCTGAAGAGACCCACAAATGTAGAATAACACATCCACAAATAAAGCTAAACGAATTTGTACCTGTGACTCTTGAAAACATATTTGTGGGTTGTATTTAAATTATTATTGTGTATTTGTGTTTCTGAATTGGATTTATTTTTGTGCATCCCCTCATATTTATTTGTTGATCATAAACATATTTATTAATCTACCTGACTCTCATATTTACAATGGTTATCCCGTCTTTTACCACAAGATGGCACTGATGGCACCAATTTGGGGTCTGTAAAACAAAACTGAAAGACAATTGCGACTTTTCTCACATTTTAATTAGAAGTACCTTGCAAATTATGTGGCATAACTCTTGTAATCTTCATTTAAATAACATAAAACAAAACATATATCCTATTTGAAACCTACAGATTATATTTGACATCAAAATTTAACTGCAATTGGTTGCATAATTCCTACTAAATTCAAAATAGACACTGTGTTTGGCAAATGGACCGCGTTCTAAATGTTAACAGTAATAGTGTACTTCTATTTATGTTTTATTTATTTTCATAATAATGCTTTCTTGTTTTTTATTATTATTAAATGATCTGAAATCTTTTTTTATTTTATTTTATGTGAATTCATTTGCTTTTCTTGGACAAATAAAACTATTTAATTTAATGCACCATGAAGAGATAAGTAACTTTCCCCTTTTTGTCTGTGATAGGTGAAGACAAAGCCACTATCCCTGTCACAGATACTGAGTTTAGCCAATCAGTGAACCCTCAGAGCTTCTGTACGGGCGTGTCTGTGCACCACCCTGCCCTAATCCAGAACACAGGCCCTTTGATTGACATGTCGGACATCAGGCCGGGCACTAGTAAGTCTCAACACTCCCACCCATTCTATTAACGACCGGATACGATGAGGATGAACTTCCCACATTTTACTTCTCAGATCCAGTTTCGAGGAAGAGTGTGAAGTCTGCACACAGCACTAGAAACCGCTACTCCAGCCAGTGGACTCTGACGAAATGCCAGGCATCCACACCTGCCCGGACCCTCACCTCAGATTGGCGGACGGTGGGCTCCCAGCATGGCATTACAGTCACAGAGAGTGACAGCTACAGTGCCAGTCTCTCCCAGGACACAGGTTCATTTTCTCTTTCTAAAAGTCTAAGGAGCAACCCACCAATGAACATGGTAGTAACCCTGTTTCTGTCCTCAGATAAAGGACGTAACAGCATGGTGTCCACCGAGAGTGCGTCTTCCACTTACGAGGAGTTGGCTCGAGCGTACGAGCATGCTAAGCTGGAGGAGCACCTACAGCATGCCAAGTTTGAGATCACAGAGTGCTTCATTTCCGACAGCTCCTCTGATCAGATGACCACCGGAACTAATGATAATGCAGATAGCATGACCTCTATGAGCACGCCATCTGAACCAGGAATCTGTCGTTTCACTGCCTCACCACCCAAACCCCAAGATTACGACCGTGGAAAAAATGTGGCAGTGCCCATTCCCCACCGAGCGAACAAGAGTAAGTTCTTAAATGGTAGCTTTTATCAGTTGATCAATTAAAAGTCCTCCTCATTATATCTTATGTCCTCCAGGCGAGTACTGTAACCTTCCCCTCTACATGAAGACGGATCCTTTCTTCCGGAAACAAGCAGAGCTGCATGACCCCTGCCCTGTGGTCCCTCCACGTGAGGCTTCAATCCGAAGCCTAGCTGCCCGGGCTTACCACACACAGGGCCGCCACATGACATTAGACCCCTCCAAACAAGCCCTAACTTTAGGCCATGGCGGCCTCAGCAGCTTGACCAGCTCAGGGGCCTCTGGTACATCGGGCCCAGCCTCAAGTGGGGCTGCTGGGAGCTCCAGCATCAGCTCAGGCACAGCCACTCTGCCCCAGAGGACTCTCACCATGCCCAGCACCTCCTCCACCTCCTCAGCCCCAAGTGGGGCGGTTGCCGCAGGAGCAAGTGCAAGCTCCACAGGAGGCAGCGGCCTAACGCCTGGGAGTTCAAAGGTTGGAGGATCCAGAGACTCTCTACTAGAGAGCAGCTCATCCGGCCTTGGCAGACTGCAAAAGCAAAATGCAGGGGCATACTCCAAATCTTACACTTTGGTGTAGCTCTATCAAACACGTCAGATCACATAAACAGTGTGCAGGAGTGGAAATGAACCATGGCGGGACCGAGGACTCTTATTGTTCCTCTCCTGTTGAGCTTTTTTTATTCCTTTTTGTTCAGCTCAAGACTAACCAGTCTTGTCCAGTTCAAATATGCCAAACCCTCTGAACTTTTTCTTTTTTTCCCCCATTTTTCTTATGTTTTGTCCTTGGTTTACCTTTTCCTCCTTCCTTACTTTCTTTTCTTTTTTGTCAAAGATACCTTAAACCTTATGCACGAAATGTGTTCCTCGCACACTTGTTCACCAGGAGATTTACCCTCTTCAGAATATCAGAGAATTTATCCCATCAAAATATTTTAGGCTTTCTTTTTTTCCTGCATAAAACTATTCTGTAATGCATTGCATCAGAAAGCTTATGCATAAAATAATCCATCACCTTCGGCCCGCTCTGATCCACACTGCTCTGGAGAAACCGCTCAAGACTCAAACGCCTGAATCAAGACATTGAGATTTTTCATGCAATTGATGACACAGTATAGAGTGTTTTGGACTATTTTGTAAGCAAACAAGAAAATGATGAAAAAATAATGTCTGGAGCCATTTTCACAGCGGATGTATGGTTACTGTCCTTTACTATGCTTTATTTTTCGTTCAATTTTGCTATGTTTGAGATTTTAAACTTTAGCACTATGAAGGGTCAAGTGGGATCCACTGAGATTTCTCAAGCTTGTGTGTGCATGTGTATGTATATGTGTAGAGACATATGTCTACATGTGGTAAGCACACACGTTTAAAGGACCTCTCAATCAGACCTTTTGACATGGGAAAGGATCAGATTGGAGATTCCATTACTGCCCTGCGAGCTACACGGTCTTGAATCTAGAATGAGTGATCAGATGGAAAGAGTACCTAAAAAGATCTCTGAGCATCTCTCACAATTCTTTTTTTTTTTTTTTTTTTTTTTTGAGAAAGGCTCTTGTTTTGCTTGTTGTTTGTTTTTATTGAATGATTGTGTTTGATACAATGTACTTATCAGCCCATCCTTCCCAACCAGACCTCCCCCAAAAAAGGTTGCAACTTGCTCTGTCTCACTGTGAATGCCTTACAGGCTCTCCTGGAAAGGCAGAGCACAGGCAGAAAGAGGTAGAAAGGAAGTAGCGACAGAAGTGCCCGTGCATCGAAAGAGAGAGAAATGTGCTGTTGCTGTGTAGCTTATCTGCATTTATTCATTGTTTCTCTTTTATCGTTCGTTTTCCTCCCCGAAGAAGACTCTAAAAGTCTTTCATATTTGAAGGTCTTTGAGGCTCTAGCTTTAGGTAGCGCAGGGGTGGATTACCAAGGGAATACGTGCAGCAAGTGAGGAGAAGTTATCGTTCAGGGCCTAAATGGATCGAATAGCCTCTTGAACCTCATTTGTTCACTGACTTTCCAAAGCAAAGCCCTTTCACAGAGAAACTTCCAAAAATCAACAAACTCAATGGAAAAGGTACTACATCAGGGCTCCTGCAATACAAAAGGAAAGATAATATATTGCAATGTTTGTTGTCAAAATATATACATATATATTTCTATCTAAAGATATAGTAAATATATACACAGTAAGAGCAGAGATTTAATGCCATATCTAATTGAAAAATAAAATTTTATTTTAAAAAAAGATTTGAAGACAATCGCTCAGTGGGAGATGCAGCAGTGGGTAAAAGGAGGTATCGATCCTGAAAGTTGACAAACGGGTAAAAAAAGCTAGGTGATAGAACGCCATCAGGCGTGTTGCCACTGAAGTGTTGGTAACTGTGGGAAAAGACCTGTTCCAAATCTGACTTTCAGACACTGTTTGGGTCAGCCAGGCTGCCTGTACGGTATTAACAGACATTTACTAACACCGGTGTTATCACACCATTCTAACTGGCATGATAGCAACCTTTGAATCAGTAGGTACCAGCTCCACAGTGCAATAAATCTCATTCAAATAAACTAAATATTTCGTCAAAAAGAGGGTTGAGATTATGGTAAATATTTAATAGCATAAGAAGCATAAATATGGATAATTTACATTTATCCATTAGGCAGACCATTTTATCCAATGCGGCTTACCTTTTTGAACGAATGAGCACTTTTTTTGTCAATTCTTGCTTTCCCTGGGTTTTGAACCCACGACCTTTGTGTTTTTAGCATAATGCTCTACCGACTGAGCCACATGAAGGAAATTGCCAGAAAATTGTTTATTATGGAATAGTACGTCTGCCATTATTATGTGTTTTAATTGAATGAGAGGATCTACTGCACCTTCTTAGGGCTGAAAGTAGGTGGAGTTAGCACATACCGAACCATAACAATAGGGTTGATAATGACCATTAAATGCCATGATAACATCCCAAGAGGCTGTTTCTCAGAAACAATGGAAAAATATCATTTCAACTTGAGCTTGTAGAAAAACCACGAGTCCAGGCACCATCACTGCTGCACACTGAACAGTTAAAAATACCCAGTGTTTCTTTTTGGTCCTTACACAGACAGTTCATGCAAAAATAATCATTGCTTTATTCACTCACATTACATTTCCAAATTTGACCTGATTTTATTTGTGCACAACAAAATTCATTCTAGTCCTGCCTAAGTTCTAGCGCCGCTGTAACTCTGATTAGATCAATCATTATGCCTTAAAAGGATAAAAATACAATTATTCTACATAACTGGTCGTCTTAAAGATAGATTTGAGTAACCAAAAATTATCACTTTTCCTTAGTAGCCCTAAAAAGGTTTTTGGCCCTAGCACTGGTCGTTTCTTGAAAGCTTTCATGACGGAATGAAGAGAATAGGGCACAGGGTTAGAACACTGTAAGAGTTTAGATAAGATCATTAAACAGGAATAGATCATGGTAATAATTTAACTGTGAAGAAATAAATAGTGCACATATTGGCAATACAGTTCTTTCTTAGGGCGAACTGTCTCTTTAATGTATGACCTCACTTTAGTAAAAAAATATTCACTACAGGAAACATTTACATTTGTATATTTGGTTAATGTAGTCCATTCAGTTTTAAACTACAATACAGGAAATAGCTCACATGTATTGTTTGCTCAAAAGGAGCCTTATCCAGCAGAAAACTTGCGGTAACATAAAATAATTTATTCTCCCAGTTTTTAGACAGAGTGGCACAAAATCTGGATTTGGTTTCAGACCAATGAAAGTAAGAGCCCCACTTATTGCTGCTCAAAACCCACTGACTGGGCTAGAATTGCCCAGAACATTTTGCCATAAACACATTTTATTAGAATTAGACTGACGTCTAGATAAGTAATTCAGGTGATTCCCCTGACCACCTAAGTATTTCTCCCAAGTTTGGTTTGCTTTTTATTATTGTTGGTGATCTGAATTGAATTTGATTTGTATTTCGTTGCTATATTTATTAATAATATAGATATCAAGTTTAGTTTTTTGTTTGGTTCGATGATATGTTGTGTTAAAATGGAAATGCAGTTGTATTGCAAAATGGAAATGGCCAATCAGGGACCCAATACTCCAACCAATCAGAGGAGAAGCTGGGTGGAGTCAGAATTAGACGTCCAACCCCATTCTACATTTTCCAGTCGCATTATCTGATTGGCCCCTATTCCTCAAACTATTAAACTTATCCTACCAAGAAACACCTGTCCGCATCATTTCTATTCTACAAATAAAGACTTGTATATATGAAACTGTTTTGTATAAATAATTAACTATTTTCGACATCTCCATTAGCAACCAGAGCACAATTATTGTCTGGTTAAAAGTATAACTTTAAATGTGAGGGACAAAAAAAGTATAAAATCTAACAAAAAATTATTTACACTCTGAGTTTTAAATAGGGCACATAAAGTCAGACAAGACTGGCAGTTGAATCATTTTCTCCTTTTTTATCATTTGTCTTATGTTTTTATTCAGTTATGTTGTTGGATGTTTGTTTTTACTTTTGTTTCTACCTTTTGTTAACTTGATGAAAAATGGCATTGCATGCTCTGAATATTTTGCTGGTTACTAAAAGAAAATGGAAAAGTGACAAATATCTCAAAGGGAAAAAACAGAGAGGGGATTCCTAAACTTTTATGGAAAATTTGCTTCAATTTGCAATTGCTTGTGTTTAAATATACATTTTTTTCTATGAAAACAAATCAAAAACTGAAAAAAAGAGTACTCAAAACACCTTGTGCAATAAAGCTATCTTTCTATGACTGGTGCTTTGTTCTTTGCTTAACTTCTTTTATCATAAAGAAAAATATAAACGTGTCTGGAGGTCTGCCTGGAAGAAGCATTTAACAGTGATTCAACATAAAAAAAATTGCAATTTTGATTTGACCAGGTCGTGTTTTGTTTCCTAGTGACACCCAGTGATAAAAAGGAACTAATAATGTACAGACTTACAGAGGCGGGGGTACACCCTAGACAGGTTGCCAGTGCATCGCAGGGCAACATTCACACCTAAGGGGAATTTAGATTATTCAATTAATCCTAACTGCATGTTTTGGGATTGTGGGGGAAACCGGAGTACCTGGAGGAAACCCACGCAAGCACAGGGAGAACATGCAAACTCCTTCCAGGAAGGTCACCGGTCAGTCTCAAACCGACAATCTTCTAACTGGAAGGCCACAGTGCTACTCACTGCACCATTGTGCTGCCCTCTGCATCCATTCACCTGTGAAATAAATAGTGGGCTATATATATATATATATACATACAATACTAGTATTCCGTATGTTGCGGCAATCTATTTAGCTATTCGCATTTTTTGCTACTTCAAACCAGCATTCCTTCAAAATCCCTAAAAAGATAGCCCTGCTAAATGTAAATAAAGAAAAACAATGAACAAGCAATTTTACCCACCCCTGCCCTGAAAGGTAAACCCAGCCAGAGAAGGTTAGTGTCACAATCAGACAGACAAGATAGTTTTATTTACAATGTCCTAACACTTGCAGTCATATGGAAGCAAGAGTAATACAAGGACAAGTGTCTGGTTCTGAGTAATGAAGTGAGACGATTATCGAGAGAGACAGGTGATCATGGTAGGGTGAAGGAGGTGCTGGAGAATCATAACAAGGGGAACCACGACAGGTTCCATTGTATGGTTATTTAGCAGACAATAGAACAGACTGCAAAGATAATATTTCAATCAACATGTGTAACAGCTTCATCCGAAATGTCCTAGTCACACATGTTTTATTCATTTTAAAGATTTTCTGATCCCTTTTTTTATAAAGGAATATATTTTTATTTATAATAACAAATAAACTGTACTTAAATATATAAAACAACAATTCAGAATTTAATTAGCATTAAATGCCAAATACCTTCCACGTGTTTTGTGCAAGCCAACAAAAATCTATATTTTTCTTCAGTGTCAGTAGCTCACCACCAGAGGGAAGAATGACACAAAATATTGGAAGAAAAACGTTTTATTGAATTACTCTATTAGTGGCAGCTTATTATATTCAATTTTCTGCTTTTTAACAGTCGAACAAATATCAGTCACTTCGCTGTCAGCACACTTTCAAAAGTTTTCATCATATATGTAAGTGCATCGCACCTAGGCACATCACCACCACATACTCTGCCCATGAAAGAAATTGCATTGAAATTATTATCTGGGGTTATTGTTGTAGCAATAAAATGCGTAGACTTAATTTGAAATCTGTGTACCTTTTAGTTTAAAACATGTCAGTCTGCAAATACAGCACTTTGTAAACCCGTCTTCAGATCATGCACAGCTATCAAAAATATGTTTATGAGAAAACAAAACACGCTTTACTTGCTGTGACCGCTGCAAAGGTGTACATGGGTTTGCAGATAAATGAAACTAGCTCCTCCCACCAGAGGGTGCAAATGCCCCTGTATATACTCACATTTGCAGAGATGAGACACATAGAAGTTTTCATCTTGAAAGCAATTTGGAGTAAAACTAGTTACCCCTAATGAGGTATTTTTTGACCCAGGCATATTTTAGCAGCAGTACTTCCTTGCTTTTATTTAAGTCAGGAGGTGATCTAAGGAAGTAAGGAAGGGGTAAGGAAGTAAAATGTCAGAAAAATCTCATTAGGGGTAGCTAGAATTCCACAGTAAGGTCTGTGACAAGGCCAATCCAAATGGGTCTATGTAGTACACAATATAGTACAGTATAATCTAACATGCAACCTCATGAACTCATGATGCAACACAACATAAACACTTATAATGTGATGGACACCATACATCTGAACTTGATTTACATTGACCTCATTCCCAGACAACATTCTACCCCATATGGGTTTGTCCATGGGTTCCATGTGGGCCCTATATTAAATAGCCCATATGAATCTCATATAAGTTGCCCATTTGGGTCCCACATTAGCATAAGTCAGGCCCTATATAAGATTCATTGTGGTAGAATGTTGGCTGGGCTATTACTACATAGAAGGTAAAACATTTATGAATTATGTTTCAAATTCAGTATTTTTAATATTTTAATTAGGTTCAATGTGTAGAACCTAGTAATACATTTCGACATTGAGCAAGCAACCGTGCTTTAATGTTCTGGTAAGTTCTGGTAAACTCATTGCTTAATACAGAGACTACATCTAGAAAAGTAATGAGTCTGAAAATGTAAGAAATAGAAAGCACAGAAATTTGTGCTAAGTAAAAGTAAAAAGTAGTAAAGTGTTTTTGCCAAATTATTTCCCAATTTTTGGAAACTTCTAAAAACTTTAAAAGTACAAGTGTTATCCGTTGCCATAATACAATATAGAGGGTATCTGTAAAATATTATGTATGTGAGGGGTTGAAAGTAAACAACAAAGTAATAACAAAGTTTTTTTTTTTTTTTTTTTTTTGGGGGGGGGGGTATCTATGCTGTTTGCTGACCATATGAATAATGCTAGAAAAATAACCCCATGAACTTAAACTTATATGGTGAATAATATGCATTGCTAAACAATGATGATTCAATTAAATTATTAATAAAAAAAAAAGAAATGGATTGTAAACATTGGGATTGTCTATTATACGGTTTTCATGGAAATGTTTTGCTGATTGATCTTCAAAATATTCTGACCAGTACGTGCTGTCTTAGGTTTATGGCGTCTGTTATCAGCATTCGGCTTGAAATGCTCGTCATTGTCAGAACGTTTGTGCGTGCGCAGGTGTCAGCTATCTATAAATCTGACTACGTGATGGTGTCACTCATAATTCTTC